AAATAAGAGGGGCAGCTGATTTTGTAGGGGAAGGTTTTTATTTTTTTATTTTATTTTATTTTATTTTTTAAGTTCATTTATTTAAGTAATCTGTACTACATTCAACATGAGGCTTGAACTCCGGACCTTGAGATCAAGAGTCACGTGCTCCTCTAACTGAGCCAGCCGGCCGCCCCCAAAGTTATTATTTTAGATGTGCAGTATTGGAGATATGGGATAACAATTCAGGTAAAGCCCACGAGTAAGTCTAACTAATTCATTTTTTGCAGGGTAGCCTTTCTGTGATTTGAAGGTTTTTAAGTAAATCTCTTTTCTCACATCTGTCCTTAAATAAGTCTTCCTACAGAGGAGGCAAACTCTTCCAGAGAGACACAAGGTTTGATTCCAGTTTTTTTTTTAAATTTTTAATGTTTTATTTATTTTTGAGAGAGAGAGAGAGAAGGGAGACAGAGAGAGAGGGAGACACAGAATTTGAAGACAGGCTCCAGCATCTGAGCTAGCTGTCAGCATAGAGGCGGATGCAGGGCTCGAACTCACCAACCGTGAGATCATGACCTGAGCCCAATTCGGACACTTAACCAACTGAGCCACCCAGGTGCCCGTGATTCCAGTTATTTTGCTATGGTATCTCCACAGGTTACTTATCCTCTTGTTTCATCAGTTAAAATAGAAAATTCTACAGCTTGTTGGGAGGAGCTAATGCCTAGAAAAGTGCCAGGAACAAATACTGTCACAGCATGGGCGTTCAGGAAATGGTAGCTGGGAGGTAAGGTTTAGCTGTTACTATCCTGGGTGTTCTTCCCTCGGTTTAACTCCACCGGGCACGGTTCCAGGGTAGACACAGGCCTCTAGGGCTGGGCAGAGCAGAACAAGACTTCACTCCCCCGTTCACACACTTTCCTTCCACATTCACACCTCTCAGTTTGCTTTAACAGGATTTGGGGCTTGACACTGGCAGTGCAGGACATCTCTGAAGGAGGCTAAAGTAAGAGAAACGTGGGAGCCAACAAAGCATCCGGGAGTGGGGGGTAATTATCATTCCCCTGTGAAAGGAGACAATGGAGCTAGACTGGAACGGAATACATTCCATCAAGAAGGGTCGAAGAAGGTTCAGAAGAAAGTAATGCCACAGAAACGTAGGAACTGGAAAAAGATGACCCAGCTTAACCCTTCACTCTCTCTCTTTTTTTTCAATCTTGGTCAAAACATATAAAATGTACCATCTCAACCATTGTTTTTTAAGTTTATTTATTTTGAGAGACGGAGCACAAGTGGAGGAGGGGCAGAGAGAGAATCCCAAGCAGGCTCTGCACTATCAGCGCAGAGCCCGATGCAGGTCATGACCTGAGCTGAAATCAAGAGTCAGACGCTTATCTGAGTGAGCCATCCAGACGTTCTCATCTCAACCATTTTTAAAAGTTCATTACAACATCACTATAAGCCCATTGTGCAGCAGACTCCTCTAATTTTTTTTAATCTTGCAAAACGGAAACTATCTCTATTGAATAATTCCCCTTTTCCCTCCCCTCCCCAGCCCCTGGCACCCACCACTCTACTTTCTGTGTCTAAGAGTTTGACTGCATGAGACCCCTCTTACAATCAGAATCATGCAGTATTTGTCTTTTTGTGATTGGCTCATTTCACTTGGCAAAATGTCCTTAAGGTTCATCCATGTTGTAGCCAAAGACAGCATTTTTCTTCCTAAGGGCTTAATAATAATCCATTGTATGCATATGCCACATTTTCTTCATCCATTCATTCATCAGTTGATAAACATTTAGGTTGCTTCCACCTCGGCTAATACCGCAATGAGCACTGGCATATAAATACCTCTTCCAGATTTAACTGCATTCTTTTACAGGTAATGGCAACCCTGACTCAGACTGACTGATTAAAGCAGAGCTTCACAACAGTGGCAATGTTGCCACTAGACAATTTTTTTTTTTTTTTTTTTTTT